ATTACGATTCTATAAAAAAGACCATTGATGCATCAGATGAATGATGAAAATAAAAACTATAGATAAATTATTTAATTTGCACACTCTATTCATATTATTCAGAAAACATTCAAGTGTGTACTTACAGTTAATATCTATGTTCATGAACTCAATGAAATACCAAATGTACCAAATGCCAAAAAAATTTAGATATTGTGGCATAGATCTCAATCCAGAAGAAAAACCATATTAGGTGTATGGTGGTGTTGTTTCTACTAAAGCTCGAGCATAGACTCCAAGCCAAAAGCCCCATGAAGCTACAAATGGTCCTTACAATTTTGATCTAAGATAAAGCTCAAATGACCTCATTAAGGACTCATTGCATGAGATAGATGATCTTGCTAAATCCAACATTTGAAGCATAAGCCATCTCAGGGTTAAAGAAGTTTCGAAAAAAAAAAACAAAAGTTGGTTAAGAAATCAAATTGCATAGTTAGTGATTGCAAGCACAACTATGACATTTGCTTCAAGTGTGCAATATGCACCACCATCACTTTTGAAGCTATCATTAAGCTAGACCATATCATGAGTCTTCAAAGACATTTCTCCTTATTTGCGCTCTACAAAACTGCTTGAGAATGTTAATAAGAGGGAGATGTTTATAACTATAATCCCTAAGCGAAGGATTTATTATCTACTTTATTATTTTGAGAACTAGGGTTCATTATCTATGCTTTTACTTTGAGAACCACAATTTATCGTATAAAAAGAATAATTTAAAAACTTTGGGAGATAATTATAGTTGCACTATTTTGTAATATTCACTAACATTATTTTGTCTTATTAGTTATCATTGTGCACTTCTCGTTTACTATTGAACAATGAGTCAATATATATTTCACATATTTAATGAATTCTTTAATGTATGTTGTTATGGATAATAATAGCCAATATAAATATAGGAAAATCATTATCACAATTATATGTCAAACTTATGAGTACTATGAATCCTATATTTGCAGCACTCCATGACCACTAGCTTTATTGAAGAAAAATTGATTGCTAAGTTACTCATGACCACTACCTGAGAAGATTTTATAGCAGTATCTATATAACACCTTTCATTTTTAGATCTCTTGCAAAAGGTAGAAACTCATCATAGGCTCCGCTGATTATCCTGAACAATATCAAGAGAAGTGTTGCTATAAAATTATACATTTTTATCATATAAAAAATTTATGAGAGCAGCAAGCGAGAGATTTCAGCATTCCTCTAAAATAATTAGTAGGTATTTCTCTATTGGTATAAATGCATTGATCAGCTTGTCCTCCAAAGTTATAAATTTATTAGCTACATCATTTCACATGAAGCCAATAGAGATATCTCATGATTGTCAGTCTACATAATACTTTAAGGTATATATTACATTCTAATTTTTTCCATTAGCAAATCAGATGAATTTGAATATCAATAAATTATTATATGATAAAGCATTGCATCGAAGCGATCGATGGAACACATGTAGAATCTCGCATCCTCAGTAGTTATAAGGTGCAAAAATTGGTCATTGTGGCTAGCCCAAACAATATATAACGGCAATATGTGACTTCAATATATGCCTCACTTTCATGATGATCAGTTGGGAAGAAAATGCCAATAATAATCATGCTTTTAAATTTGTCGCAGTCCCTTTAATACAATATTTTCATGCCTCCTCCAGAATAGTCGCCATTAAAATATTTGTTCATTTAACAAAGTCGCCTACGAACTAATTTTATCTAACTTCTATCAAGAAAATATTATCTTGTAAATGTTGGATACACTATGCAACAAGAATTTTTGATGTTGTATCATGATGCAAAATATCACTTCATTTTGAAAAGAGAAGTCAAGTGATTTGAGGGAAGAAAGAAATATTCAACAAGTGACACTACTTGTTACGTGGGGTCATTAAGAGAGCATTTAGAGTTTATAAGAAGAAATGGGTTATTCAATGATACATGTCTATGTACTCATTCAAAAAACATGCTAAAATAGTTGTGGCTACAATGATGATACATAATTTCATGTGATGTCAACATTCACATAATGATATTAAATTTGATATTTTAGATGAAGATCGATCATATGTCCCACCTAAAATGTATTAGTATTGAATAGGTTAAACAATGCTCGAGATTACTCATGATATAGTAGACTCAGGCATAGGTTGGAAAAGGAGCCGAGGAAATGAAAGAGCATAGAGAGCTCATTACAAATGTTTTATATAATTAATAGTGTGACCTAAAGAAGATTTAATTTTCATATGTATATATATAGGATTTAAGCTCTGCCACCATGAATGTTTGGTCTCTCTCACTTCACTTTTTCAATATATAGGTTGAATAAGCTTTGAATTTTCTATATAATCTCCTATAAATTCTTTTTTTTTCCTTTTGCATTGGCTACACGCTATTTCGCTAGTTTCCTATTTATCTTATGAATAAATTCCTCATTTAATTTTGATTGATACTAGGTGTAAATAGTTGATACTAGGTGCTTTTGGTTTAGGTTGTGCTAAAGTATATATTATAGGTTGCCTATCTCAGTTGTTTTTAGGTTTACAAAATGAATAGAATCTTCGTTTTCTTATAATTGTTGTTACTCCCACCTACACAACCTCTTGGCCAATCATGAAAAATCCATCTATAACATAATAATTGGGTGTTTCTACTCTCTAAGTCCAGTATAAATGAAACACAACTTTAGTCGTCACATCTATAGAATCTTCGTCAATCAACTTATTTATTTTTGATGAAGAATGAGTTTCATCCCTTCGATATGATCAGTTAGCACTCCATAACATATTATTTATTGTCATTGTGGATTACAATGTAAATTACTCAAAAATCGGGGAAGAAGATTCTACATATGTCCTCAGAGCAAATCGGATGATAACTGATTATTTCAAATGGTACGAGTAGGCCTGTAAACGAGCTGAGCTTGAGCAAGCTCAGGCTTGGCTTGTGTTCTGCTCGTTTGAAATAGCTTGTGTTCGAAATCAGCTCGTGTTCGAAATTGGCTTGTGAACAATGTCTTTGTGTTCGGCTCGATTTAAATATTCGTGTTCTTATTCGGCTCGAAATTGGCTCGGAAGAATTATATTGAAAAAAATAGATGCAAAATGTGGGATTCAAACCTGGACCAAATGTATACAAAAGAAAACACTAACCACATTGCCACACTAGATGTTATGATTTAAGCTTAGATAAAGATATATATAATATATTATTTATAGGATTCGAACTTGGACCAAATGTATACAAAAAAAAACACTAACCACATTGTCACACTAGATGTTATGATTTAAGCTTAGATAAAAATATATATAATATATTATTATATAAATAATATATGTAATATATTATTGTATAAATAATTATATTTTTTATTAATTTCGAGCTAAAACGAGTCGAACACGAGCGAACAAAGAGTTGTTCATGTTTCACTCGTTTATAATTCGAGCTTTAAAAATTTGTTCGTGTTCGGCTCGATTACTTAACGAACGAGCCGAACACAAGCTACTTAACGAGCCGAACACGAGCTGTTCGCGAACAACGAGCTTTTTTGACAGCCATAGGTACGAGTACGAAAAACTTATTCAAGCATCTTCTCATGCTGTTCATGCAAGAGGAATAGAATCAATGGAAGATCCATTCAAGAGTAATGTGTTCATCGAATATGAACTTCACCAAATTAAAAATCTAATTGTGATTGTGAATGTATTCGTACAAGTGGCGATAATTTTTTTAAGAGGTTATTTTGTTGAGGTTTATATGTAATTCAATGATAATTTGAAGACTAATACTTTCAGTGGCAGTAGCATGCATCCTTGAATCTACAACTTCCATTATTCATTGTTTTTAGTATTTAAAATGTAGGTCTGCATAATATCAAACTTGGTCTTTATTTTAGTGAATTTAGGTTTATCTCTGTTAAACAAAAAAAAAGGTGGCGTGCCCGATTAATCTATGTGAAAAAGAATGACCGGTAATATTAAAATTTTATTTATGCTATTCTGTTTAAAGTTCTTCTGAAAGAATTGTCTTATAGCTAACACATGCACATAAAAGTATTTTAGACTTTATTTTAGAAATAATTATAGCACAACTGATTCACCACTGAACTTTCCAAACATACATACTGATTCACGAACAGTTGTTTTCTGACAATAGTTTTTTGTACTACAGCTTCTTGACAGTAGATTTCCTGCAACAACTTTACAGTTATTTTTTCAAACAGTTGCAGATACCCAAAATAGACTAAATGAAAAGAATAGTGGGAGAAGGAAGTTAGCCAATAGACTGGCAGGAGAGGAAAGATTTCGGATAAGGGAAGAGAAATGAGAAGAATTTGTTCCAACAATCACAAAAGAGCAAAATCCAAGCACGAAAGAACAACAATATTGGGGTTATAAGAGAAGAAGATAAAGAAGAGGAAAGCCAAGAAATTACCAATAATAAATCATCTGGAATCCAATAGAAAAAAAATCTCAAGTGCATACTACATAAATGACCCTTCCTAAACAATTAAATTCAAACTATTGTAAATAAAAAAATTCAATGGAACTAAAATGACATAATAAAAATGTCCGCAAATTACTTTAACTAATAAAAGCAAAAAAATTTCATTAATCTCACTAGCCATGAAATTCCAAAGAAGCACTTGTTCTGGACAAATATTAATTTTTATGAATAATAATGTATATGTATGACACTTTTTGAATACCTAATAACTACCGGTTATCTTTTGCATCTTCATTCATTTTTCTAGTCTTGCAAACAGCAGCACAAGAAAAATTTAAAAATGAAATACAATAACGGGAGAAAATATGGTGCTACATAGATAATGTAAGCAGGGGAGGGGTTGCTAAGATTGTCGGGCTAAGGATTATATATGGTTTTTTACTGCAACAGACATCATCTTTATGAATGATGAAAATTATTCAATAGAATTATTACAAGTTAAAGACAAATAATTACCTTTGTATACCATCTAGATTGTCAAGCTCAGCAACGAACCGAGCAAAGCAACGCACACCATTACCACACATCTGGATGCAAAGAAATTAACAGAAAACTTATATGAATTAAAATAACTGTCTCAAGGAGATATGAACAATGTTATCCTACATCATTTGATAAAAAAATGTATGCCGCTAGAACCATAGTATCCTATAACATTTGATGAAAAAGGTATACTGTGAATTTAAAAGAAGCCAAAAGCCAAATAACATAAATAATTAGCTCACACGTATGAGGATAAAGTTGACCTCATTATCAGCATTAAACTTATCCCAACTTTTTGGGGTCAATATTATGAATCCTCATTCTCCATTCATTATTTCCAATTGTTACATTAGCCGCCATGTTTTGCACAGTTTTTCACAAATTGTAGCCATTTTACCTTTTTTCTACCCCTTCCTTTCTTCATAATCTTTCAAAATTAATTTTATCTTTATCAACTTATTCTATTAACGTCTACATTTCATACTCTACCTTGTAAATGCCCAAGCCTACCAAGTCTATTTCTCACTGCCTTATCATCAACATATGCTACTCCTATCCTAGAGTTATAATCATTTATCAATCAATTAATCCTTATTTTGCCAAAAATTCATATTAAGATTCTTATATTGTCCACACTAAATTTTTCATTGCATCACTCCAACCTTAAACTTCATTTAAGTCATAGTTATTCCCATAGAAACATCACAGTATCTGCTTATTTCAACAACTGCCACACTCATCAACCATATTTGAAATTTCCTCAATTAACTTAACAATGACCGAGAACGGCTCAAAATTTTCTTAAATTAACCTCAATACAAACATAGAACTTACTGAAAAGTCTAAAACTGAACCATAATGTCATGATAGCATTAAGCTTCAATGGAACAAAAATGTTATTTTTTTTAAGGTTCCAACACTCGAAGTGAACTATCACGCTAGAGAATTGGACTTCATTAATAATCGAAAGAAAATGAACATGTAATGCTTATATTTTCAAGGTTTTCAGTGCAATGGATTCATTATCATATATATGCCTTAGAATTAGCATTAACATCTAAAAATCATACTTTTTATTACTTTCAGATATATTTGATTCAGATGAAGTAAATAAATATTTAAACAAAAAATAAACATTGAAACATTTGTCTTGAACTTCTAAAACTGCATTAAGAAAATAACTCTATATAAATGTTTTAAAACCTTGCTTCCAATTAAACAACTACGGTATCCTGGGAGACACATTGCTTAAAACAGCTACGCATAAGCAGTTTGATTTGCAGCGCTCTGAAGCTAAATTAATCAGTGCATCCGTCAGTTTTCATCAACTAAAATTTTACGTTTTGTTCAAGTTTTTGAACTTAGAAGAGAGAAAACAAAACGCATAAAGAAGAATGCAACCCGTGTAAACACAAGGAGAAGAATGTACACAAACTACAAAATGAACAAAACATTGTCGTCATGTCAAATCTAGATAGATACAGTACCTCGGGTTCACTACCATCCGAATTAAAAATCCTCATGGTATAATCCGTGTCGTTGAGCCCCGGCAACACGAAAATCACACCATCAGCTCCAACCCCAAAGTTGCGATTACAGATCCTCATCGCCTGCTCGGGAGTAACCCTAGGCTCATTTGACTCTCGGTTATCCACCTAGTTCTCATGACCATTCGCAAAGCAGATTCAATCAAACACAACTACTCCATAACAGAGTAAATAAAAGCATGACATTGCACACCATGATGAAATCGTTTCCAAGGCCGTGGTACTTGACAAAACGGAGGAAGCCAGACTCCTTGTGATCGAGGAAAGCGGGCTGGGGAGTAGCCATATTGGGTGCGTCTACGCTGATTGAAGCAAAAGGTGGTCGAATTCTAGGGTTTCGAAAGAAAGGTGAGGGGGTGCAGTGTTGGAACCTTTGAGAGAGGAGGAAGGGAGAGATTGAGGGGATAACACGGCGCGAAGGGAGACAGAAGGTAGGAGACAACGAGGCGGTCGGCATTATCTCGGATTCCAGCTGCCGTTCCCAGTGATACAAAGCTGGCGGTTTTGTTCTGAAGCGATTACTCCATTCTTAACTATCCGTGTTCCAGGCTATGTTTGGGAGCACCTTTTTAGCTACGGCGCGGGGGGCGGGCCGCGGGATATCTGTGGCTTCTCCCGCTTTCGACCTAAATTTTACCCTTTTCCCTCTACCTACCCTCGGTGATTCCCGTTGTTTCCCCGCGTCTGACCGTCCACCCTTGCTTCCCTCGAGTCCCCTTCTCCTTCTCCTCTTTCGTCGTCCCTCGACCGACAGATCTAAGGTAAGACAAGCTATTTTCTTCTTTCTTTGAGGATCTGACGAAGGATTTGCGTTTTGCGGTTCGTGATGGTTTCTCCTTCACATTTCTTTCCTGTTTCTGTCATTTCTCTTTTCTCCTCCTTCCCTGTCGTGGATCTGTTGCTTCTTAACGAACAATGGCTTTAGGTAGTTCTTGTGGCACAAGAGAAATTACTTCATCTAACTCTTACCTGAGTAGTACACCTAGATTTGGGATCATTTTGGCATTGTCCATCCAAGTTGCAGATCTTGCAGTACTTTTTTTCGGATCTGCGGTTTTGCGATTTTGTGGTTTTGTGGCATTGCGGTTTTGTGGTTTTGTGGCATTGCGGTTTCCTTTGGTTCATGTAGAACTTGTGATTAGTTTGTGAAGGAAAAAAAAAGAAAAAAAGAGGTTTTTTCTGGATTTAGGGAAGCAGTCCCTTTGGTTAGTTCATGCTTTGCACCAATAATAATTTACTTTCACAATCCTTCAATGCATTGATTACACGTTGGAATTATAGCTGCTGCCTTTGAAAATATATAAATTGCCTTATTTCCTTTGGTTCGTGTAGAACTTCTGATTAGTTTGTGAAGGAAAAAAAAACAGAGTTGGTTTATTTCCTTTGGTTCATGTAGAACTTATGATTAGTTTGTGAAGGAAAAAGAAAAAAGGAAAGATATTTTTTCTGGATTTAGTGAAGCAGTACCTTTGGTTAGTTCATGCTTTGCACCAATAATAATTTACTTTCACAATCCTTCAATGCATTGATTTCACGTTGGAATTACAACTGTTGCCTTTAGAAATATATAAATTTGCTTATTTCCTT